TTTCCCTGTAACTGGAACCCCCTTCTGAACCAGTCATGTTCACCATTTATGTGTGGTCAGACTCTGGTCTTTCTAGCTCTTTGCCTTTTCTCTGGGGAAATGTGTGTGCCTGGAAGGGGAGGAGTGCCAGCCGGCTGTATAAGCAGCTGGCTGTCAGGTAGGGTAGCGGTCATTCTGTGGGATGGGAGAGTGGAGCACCCCGCCCCCAGCAGAAGTGTGTTCTGGGGGTGGGGATCTGTAGGTGATCACCCCTTCCTCCAGCTCAGAGATGTTTGGTCAGTGGGTGGGCTGCCCCAGGCTTTGGGGATTCTGGACCAACAGTCAGGGGAGTGTCAGAGCCCAGAGGAATGAGTCTCCCAGTGGCCCTGAAGTTCCCATTAAAGTGTTTTTTCCTCTTTTTTAAAGAAAAAAATATTCCCAAACTGGAAAACAAAGGAAATCCACTTCCCCCAAATCACACGAAACTCACATTAGGGGCCTGGCGGGAATCCATGGAAACCAGGAAACCCGCTGTTAACCCTGTATGGTGCTAAAGGGTGGGGTGGGACCTGGGCTGCTCCAAGCCCGGGACCACTGTTGCAGGCCCTCCCCGATGCTTCTCCCAGGGGGCTGGTCTCGGTGGCACTGCCCAGAGCGGAGGTAGGGTGGAGCTGATGCTGGAAGCTCTGGCCTTCGAAGCACCAGCTCCCCCTTCCACTCATGGCCCAACCTTGGGAGGCAAGAGAGGAGGGGTTCATGCACTCCAGGGAGGCCCCAGGGGATCCAGGGGCTGGGCCAAGTGGGAGAACCTGCCAGGCAGCTGCCCACACCGTGCCACACTGTGGAATCAGGGCCGAGCCCACTCACAGGCTTTGGGAATACACAGGCCAGGCGCTGTGGGTAATGCAGTGCCCTGGCAGAGGGGGAAGGAAAGGACTGGCGTTTCAGCCGCCACCTTCCCTCATGCCAGCCTTGTACGCAGGGTGGGTGTGAGAGCAGACGGACAGCGCCCTCGGGGTTCCTGCACCCCACTCTCACATCCGTGAGGCTGGGACTCCAGGCCTGGGAGGTTGTGTGCCGAGTTTGGTGGCGGTGTGTCTGTGTTTGCACGCACGTGGGCTAATTTTTCTAAAAAGGCTGAAAATATTTACAGGTTTGAAGTTGAAACGCAAACAGGAAAAGCCCTTTAAAAAGTGAGTGTAGTGGATATTCAAAACAGGAATCACCATGGAAACACCACAATATTTGCTTAAATTGACACAAAGGTTGCCGGTAGCAGGGCACAAACTTTCTTTGGCCACATTTTTTTGGCTCAACACCTATCACAATGGAATCTCACCCTCTTTTCTTTTTTATGAGATGTAAGGGCACAGTACCAGAGTGGGGAGGGGGAAGGAAAGAGAAGTTGCCAAAATCACCATCCTGGTAGCTGCAGGGACACCTGTTGATTCCATTTTTAGAGACTACCCATAAGGCCATCAGGGGGTCATGGGAGCAGCTGGGAGCTGGTGGAGGGAAAGTCTGGAGGGAGCAGGAGGTTGGGGAGGACAAGGGTTAGTTTGGTTGCGTGGGTCTGATCTGGTTTCCAGTGTCAGCTTGATTCATTGTCAGGCTGACCTTTCACCTCAGGTGCCAAATCTAGGGTGTGATCACTGTTGTTACCTGGGGTGGCACCTGATTGGCCTATTTTTGTTTCTACCTGTTTGATTCTTTTATTAGGTGCGACGACTGCATAGCAGTTGGCTAATAATTGTGCAAAGGGTGCATTTGTTGTAGGGTCAGGCATGGCACGTACCACGGCAATGCCATCTGCAGATTGGTAGGCAAGGTCCAAGAATCTCTTACCTCACTGGCCTGTTGCCGGGCAAGGTGTCCGAACCTTACCCTCCGTTGTCCTTCTCTCTGAGTAGCTTTGTGGGTCTCAGTTGTAGCCTAATAATCTGTTTTCCTTTCTCCTTTTGGTAGGTAAACAGACCTCGCTGAGTGAAGGCAAAGACCCTCTCCAGCCCACCTGCCTTTCCCGCTGTTACGGCGTCGACCCGTCCTGTAGAAGGGGGTCCTGCAACTCTTGTGGTGTGTGTTGGAATGGACTTCGGACCCCAGCTTCTTGGGATGCAAAGGTAGCTGCTCCCCACTCCCAAGATGCCACTGGGAAACGTGGGTGGGAGCTGTGATTGACCAGGTCAGGGCTTCCTTCTTAGGGGAGGGACTGCATAGGCCTTTCTCAGCGGTGGTAGCTTAGCCACCCCAAGTGAAAGTGAGAATTTGCAAGTTCGAGAAAAGAGCCGGGGCCTAGGAACAGGATATCTGCATTTTGGCCCTGGCTCTGCTGTCGACTCACTGCTTTTTCCCCTCTGGACCTCTGTTTCCCCACCTGTAAAATAAAGAGGTTGGAATAACTGACCCTGAAGAATCCTCCCAGCATTACCATTGTATGACATTGAATGGTGCCAGCAGCGTGCAGGTACTCCGGGTGAGTCCTGTGCCCTGGCAGACACTGCTCCTGGAGCTACGTGTCAGGTCATTTCTGAACATCACCTCTGGGAACGGTAAGTCCAGCCTGTCTGTGTGTCCAGCAGCTCCTTCTCTGCTGTGAGCTCATGCATGACTTGTTGGGGCTCTCCTGGTGGCCCGCCAGCCCAGGCAGGACCCTCCTTAGAGAAGAGGCCACAGGTATCTTTTGACCCTGGCTCAGAAGCAGCCCTTGCTTAAGGCAAGTACTTACGTCTGGGGTGGGTAGTCTATAGGGCTGGTACTGTCAGATATTTACCTGCAGGTGTCAAACTTGGCAGTTCTTGGGGTGGAGGGTTGACACACAGCAGGTGACTTACCATGTATTGATCATTACTCAGTATTCTCTTAAGATCCGGAGGGAACCAGCTCAGAGGGGTTGGGCGTTGGTAAAGTTGACGGACAGCGTCTTAGGGCGGGGGCTGAGGCTGAGGGCTGAGAGCGTGGCTGGGGGGGCAGGGCTGGGGGCTGCTTCTCTTGCATGTGGCTGGAGTCCGCAGCCCCGACTCACCCACCTGTGCTCTCCCTCCCGTGCTCTCCCTCCATGGGCGCCAAGGGCAGACGTGTCCTGCCCCTCCCTCCAGTGGCCAAGTGCTGCAACTCTGGACTTTGAACTTGCAGGGAGGAAGCACTTGCAGAGATGGGTGCCTTGGTGCCCACTGGGGTTTGAGTGGTCCCCAGAGCTGCAGGCCTGGTCATTTTGGGCCATGCCACCTCGGGAACTAGCAGAAGCCCTGGATAAGGCCTAGAGATTTGCAGATCAGATGTAAATATGGCGTTTGGTTGTGGTGGTGGAGCAACCACGTGTCTGAGACTCTTCTTCCTGGTGTCCAGAATGCGATCACCCTCCAGGAGTTGGTGCATCCACATTTAGGATGTGCGGCTGTTGTCCCTGATGGCGATGGGGCCATGTAGACTGTCGGTCGTGCAGCGCTCTGGCCGGGTCAGCGCTGGCACCTGCACTTCTCTGCTCCTTCCTGGGCTCTTCTTGCTCGACTCTACTTGCTTGATGATCACGGGTCTTGGGATGGCAAGCCCACGCGCCTTTGAGCCTCTGGATGGTCTCCCCACCTCCCTGTACGCTGTGCGCGAGCAGGTTGCCAGAGTACCTGTGGAGCCCCTTTCCAGGGGGCAGTGTTTGCCTGTTCTGTCCTCAGCGGCAGGCTTTTTGTTTTCTTCATTCCTTCGGCAAAACATGCCCATTCGTTTTTCCCTTTCTGAAGTTTCCACTCACTGTTGACTCCCAGGGGCCGTGCCAGCTGGGATTTGCACCCGGCATGGGGTATGGGCTCCACGAGTCCTCTGGGACTCCTGCATCCTGGCACCGGCCGTCTTGGGCTTGATACTGAAGCTTGGGAACTCAGAGGGCTCCAAGTGGGAATGTCATGGCTGAGCCCCTTCTCACTCACCCGGCCCTTTGGTCACAGGCTAGGGTCCTGTGTGGCAGGGGTGACCCGTGGTCTCAGAGGTGGCCTGCCTCACCACACCAGAGTGTGGGCTTGGGGCAAGTCTGTGCTCAGGCCTGGTCTGCAGGCCTGATCCTGTCTGACTCAGATTCTCCCCACTTCTGGCTACGCCACAGAAGATCTGGTTATGTTTATTCAACAGTTATGGAGGGCCTGGTGTATTCCGATCACTAGGGACAGAGTGATAAGACGACCGGCTCTCATGGAGTTCTGGCTGGGTAAGCGGGCAACAAACAAACCCACAGAAAACAACAAGGAAATCATTAGTGCGAATGGAAATGGATGAGGTGGTGGGAAGTGACTGGGCAGTCAGAGGAGGCTCCTTTGAGGAGGCGACAGTTAGCTGAGATGGAAGGATAGGAAGTGGATAGCCATCCGAAGAGCGGGGGAATATTTCAGCAGCGGAGAACTAGTCTGGAGGAGCTGAAGCCGAGAGCTCAGGGAGCTCAGGGGACAGAGAGAGGCCCCAGTGCTGGAAGGTGGATGGGGTGGGGCTGGGGTATGTATGACATGATGTGCCAGGGGAAGTTGGGACTTTATTCTTTGGGTGACAGGCAGCTGCTGGAGGGTTTCAAGCAGGGAGGTGAAGTGATCTGATTTTGTTTTAAAAAGATGGCTTGGGCTGCCGTGGTGAGAACGGATTGGCGGCGGCACGGGCAGAAATGAGGAGGCAGCCGCCTGAGTGAGAGTCTGAATTCAGCCACTGGGTTAAATTCTGGGATGGGGCTTTTGGTGATTTTAGGAACCAAGTGGAACCTTTCTCTTCACCCCAGGAATGTCCCACAGACAGGTTTTTGTTGTTGTTGTTCCTTTCCTCCATTTGACAACAGTAAAAGTGGCTGAGACAGAAGGGGGAAATGGGGAGAAGGGGGCAGGGTCCATGTGTGTTTAAAGGGAGAGTAAAGTGGTCTTGCTGATGGATTGAATGGGGGAAGAAGAGACAAGACCCCAGGGTGACTCTTGCATTCCAGGTCCCCGATGCCTGGCCCTGCGTCTCCTCTCTCTCACCTGACAGTGCCAAGGGGAGAAGCACCACCCTGGGCGCTGTGCTGGTTGCTAAGAAAGCTTTGCTGGAGTGCATTAGGCACCCCTGGGTCAGCACCATGTGGAGGGAAGGCCCAAGGCCTGCTTGCATCTAGCACCAATTTCAGCAGGGACTTTCCAGCTCACTGTCCTTTTGGCCCTAAGATGCTGCACTGAAGCCTGTTTTGTGCCTTTGCTCCACGGGTTCTGTGCTGGGTCTGAGGTTGGGCCTAGAAGCTCGTATAGTCCTCTCACTGTGGCTTTAAATATGATCTCTGTGCCTGGATGCACAGAACCTCAGTTGATCAGCTTTAAGCGCTGAAAAATGGGTTTATCTAAGACCCCCTCACTTCCAGACGGCCAGCATAGTCTCCAGCTCCAGCTCATGGGCAGGGATCCTGGCCGTCTTTCCACATGGAAAGTCTTTCCACAGTTCACAGTGTGAATTGCCGTAGGTACCTCATCAGACTTGACTTGACCTAGGCCACTGTCCCTTTTTCCAGGGTTCCTGAGCTGAGGCTCCACTCTCCTGGGTCCTGGTATCATCTGCTTGGGCCAGGACAAGGCAGGCAGTCCCAGCAGCGATGCTGTAACAGCCAAGCCATCCCCGACCCCCCTGGGTGGGTGCTGCGTAGCCCAGACAGCAGCCAGAGCCTGGCTGGAGTGAGTGTGAAGCTGTCCCGGCCGGCTGTGGAGGCCCCAGTGAGGACTTGCCCATGCTGGCAACATATTCGCAGCAATATGGGCCAGCTCAGCCCTCCAGGAAAGCTCTGGAGGCCTGACCTCCAGGGGGAGTGACAGGAGGGAGCAGAAGGGCGGGCTGGCGATGACGTCGTGCGGGGGGTGATGGAGATGTCCCAGGCGCGCAGCTGGTGCCTCTGGCTCTAAGGGGGTGTCAACCAGTCTTCCTGGGTGTGTCTGCCGGCATCAAAACACTGGGCTGAGCCCTGGGGGAGTGTGCGTCTGGGTGGGCAGGCGTGTGTGTCCGTGCATGCATGGGAGGCTCTTCTGCTTTCTGCCTCCATGGCCTGCACTAGATCCATGGCCTTCACTCCTAACTGGACTGGACATTTCTAACTCCGTCCTCCCGGGCTTTGATCTGGTGTGGGGCTGGCCGCTCCAGAGCCTGCAGCTGGGGTGGAGGCATGGAGGGGCGGGATCTGGAGAGGAAGGTGCTGGCTGAGGGGAGCGGGGGCCCCTGTCCTCCACCCCACCGCCAGGTGACACCCTGGATCAGTGGACTCCAAGGTCGCAGCCACTTTGTGCTGGGCAGAGACGTGATGGGGAGATGGTGTGGGAAGAGTTACTGATCCTTCTGGCTTCTAATCTGTGTGAGGATTCTGCCTGGTGTTGCCGACATCCCTGCCTTGGGCCTCCTTCCCCAGGTCTCCCTTGTGCCTCCCGCCTTCCTAGCAGCGTTGGAAGCCTTTGGGTTCCACCAGGCACAGACCCAAGGGGTGAGGGATTGGGCAAGGCTGGCAGCGCCTGCCCGCCTGGAGCTACCCGGGGTGACGCGCTCGCTCCAAAGGGGACAGCAGCCCATGGCTTTGGGAGGGTTAACATCTCGTGGACAAGGGGAGAAGCACTCTGCCCTGCCTCCGTCCTGTGACCTTGGAGCCTCCACAGGAAGATCATGCTGGCAATGGAGAAGCGACGGCAGGTTTTGCACACAAGGGGAGTCCCAGTGGCTGGGAACGCGTCGTCTTCTCTTGCAGACCTTCAGGTTCCCCCGTTCTGTCTTCTCCCAGTTTCCCTGGCCTCTCTGATTCTAGAATCCACCCAGGTATAGTCCTGGTCCGGGAGAAAGTCCTTCAGCCCAGAGGATACCACGCTGAGGCATGAGGCCGCCCCCCTGGGCCTCCCCACACCGTCAGCTGCTGGTTCTCTGTTAAATCAGCCTTGGGGATGGTCCCCACCTTCCGCTCACCACCCAGTTTAGTCTGGTTTCTTGGCGCTTCAGGAGTAGGAGCCTTTTCTGACCCTGAGCCGCCTTCTGGTAGCCTGCGCTTGGGACCCCTGCGGCCCTGGGCGGTTGAGGGGAGGGAAGGTGTAATTAATCACTAGTTTCTTCTCTAGAAATGCTAATCGGGAAAAGCAATTAAAAGTAACTTTTTTTCCCT